TGCCATCATAGCAAAAACTTCAAAAAGTTTTTTAACCTTATTATATAGAAATTAGAGTTAATAAATATATTTAAAATCTAAATATATAAATTATTATTACTAACTTTTGACAGGTATTGAGTAGCTATTCTTTTATTAAAACATTTAGAATAATGTTGTAGCATAATTTCAGCTAAAACATTATCTGCCAATGGTTTAACTTTATCTAACATAATATCTATACATCTAATAAAAAATAAATTTTAGTTTTTATATTATATTTAATTATAATTATAAAATATATATTTACTTATTATATTCTTTGTTTTTTGAATTATAATCTAAAGAATTATATACAGTTTTTGTATAACTTTCATATATACTAAATCTTTCTGAACTTTTTTAAAATTATCTGTTTGGTAGTTTTTATATAATTCATTTTTAGAATGCTGTAAATAATATCCAAATACAGGGGTGTGGTGACCTAGTGAAGTGGATAGGTTGTCAACCCCCAAGTGGCAGATCTAGAGTTCAAATCCTAGTGATGACAAAAATTTGCAATTCTTTCTGTATTACGACTAACTGTCTTCTGTAATTGGTTGGGATAAGATACCTGTAACCTGTGTTATACCAGCATGACTGGAAGGTCTAAGGCACTCATACAATATTGTATGAAGGAACACAAACTGGTACTGAGCGGTGTGAACTCAAGATAAGTCCTTAGGCTATGTAAATCAAGAGAACCAGGTAGGAAAATGGAAGCCCACTTGAAAGACCTGAGTAGAGAGGTAACCCAAACCTTCGATGGTGCTACTGTAAAGACTAGACTTATAAAATGGAGCTAGAACTTGTGAAACTGGGCAAATGTGCTAGTCTTTAAGGAGGGACCAGATGAACCAACCAGGCCATCAGAATTTTCAGGTTCTGGAGGAAAAGGGCACATGTCGGCAAACATGTGAACCAGAGGTGTATAGTTTCAACCTACCTTTCCGGGCTATCTGAAATGGCAGCTTGGTGAAACTTGAATTGAATACCAAAGTAGTAAGGATATGTTGTGAAGGCAGTTCTGAAGTTGGAATGAACTCTACAAGGGCATAGCGGTTTAATGGTACACTCTGATCACCAGTATTGGTCTCAGACATAGTAATACAAGGTTAGCTATAAGAATGGGATATAGAAGATTCTAAAAGGTTTAGTACAAGGTCAAAGGTTCCTCATATAAGTAAACCGCTTTAAAGACTTAGTGACCATGGCATATTTGAACCAGTATCGACCAGGGCATCTTGGTAGGTATAGGTAGGTGGGTGAATACGGGAACAGAGTGTTTAAATAGGGAACCTACAAGTGGATTCCAGGTATAGCAGCTAGTATAGAACCTTCGGGCAGACTACTTAAATTAGACAATGACTAAAGTTGTACAAGTGGC